ACAATCCACAGCAAAGGCCCGGGTCAGAATCTACACAAGGCCTAGAAGTACTGCATCATGATGTTAGGATGAAAATCACTTTCAAACTACTTATAGCACTGCCTGGCATATTGCAAGCACTCAATAAATGCTGAATATTATTACTGTTATTGCTGTTGCTATGATTATTATTGTTATTTAGATCAACATCCCAGAGCGTGCAATAGGACTTGTAAGGCTATTAGCTTTTGTGTGTGCTAAGCACACAACAAGCTACAAAGGACAGAGATGGTTGTTTCTTTTAGCATTTCCCAGTTCCCCTGTCATTTTCTCCCCTGAAACATTTCATTCCGCCTTTTGCAGAGCAAACATCATTATCATCACTTCTTGTTCACATCTCTGATATCCCCATGGCTCTTGCCGTTCTCACTGGTAGAAGCAACACCTCTGAATTTACTACCATCTGCAAATATCACTAGCTATTGTTTATTCCCTCTCCCACACTATTAATGAAGATGTTAATTAAGACCAGAGCTAACACTGACCCCAGCAGCAATCCACTAGACATTTATCCAACTGGATAAACTTCTGTTAGTCATTACCCACTGCTCGTAGACATCACCACTCCTCCATTCTCTTCATCTGCTAATTTGTAAGAGACTAGGGGAGAGAACTAAAGAAGCCCAGGATTATTTAAAAATTAATGCTCTGATACTTAGGGCTTTGGGAAGGGATTTGGTGGAACATCAGAAGGACGGTTGTCAGTAGTATGCAGGAATAAGTGAGCCAGTCTCCAAAAGTATTTGGTAATTGCCTGGATAAGCCTATGAGTTTCTGAACATTTAGCAGTGTACCAGCACAAATTATACAATTTTCAGACCAGCCACTTATTTTATGTGTAAACAGTGGCCCAAGGAGGTCACCTCCCTAGTTAGTGTACCTGAACTTGGCACTCTAACTTTAAGTCCTGTGCTCTTCATGAGAATTCAGAAGCAGAGGGAATCTTGCTTAATAAGATTCAACTCTGACATCCTCAGCATTTGCCTACCAACTGCTAGACTTGTTGAGCACAGCATCCACCAATTTCATCGTTTTGTCTCTAGTGAACCATGTCCCATAGTAAGAGTTCATTACATACTTAGTAAGGGAATAATCATTATGTACCACAATGCACTGCTTTCATGACCTATAAATTAGTACATATTTCCAACCCTAGCTAAACATTAGAATCACTTGTGGGAGCTTTAAAAAATACCAATGCGCACCATCCCCCTTCCCGCAAGATTCTGATTTAATTGGTTTGAGGAGAGGCCCAGGCACTGGTAGAATTTTAAAGCTCCCCAGGTAATTCTAGTGTGCAGATGGGCTGGCAAGCTACCTCAGAGGATAGGAGAGTTTCCCAAGGACTCCTAAACGGAGAAGTTCCTTGTCCTGTGGAAAAGATCAGTACAGAATTGCTGCAACTTAGCAATTAGAAGCAACCTTCTCTGGAGCGGGACACTGACTGCTTCTTGGAACTTTGCCTTATGTAGGATGTGGATTGCATTGCCGGCTCAGAATGATACGGTTCAGGATGTATTGATCTGGTGGTGGTATTTATACCCGGCATGTTCTGGCAAACTTTAGCTCTGTAGGCAGAGTGTCAACTTAAGAATAGTGCCGCCTATCAAGTGGTCCAGAAATGAGTTGCTGGCTTAGTATAAAAAGTGGCCAACTAGGGGCAAAGTCAAGCAAAGAACAGAAGACTAGCTGGTGTGTGTGTGTGTGTGTGTGTGTGTGTGTGTGTGTGTGTATGTAAGGTAGGGAGCTGTTAAGACATTAATGCCCTCTGTACCCATGGCTGTATCAAGTGCCTTCTTGCCCCTGGTATGGCAATGAAACCTTAGTAGATGTAGACTGTAGATCAAAGACAAAATAATAAAACATAACCTCAGGCTTCTTCCTGGACAACAGCCCCCAAAAAGAGAAAGGACAAAGCTTTGGAAGGGTTTAGAAGCTGCTAGTCTTCTGACATTGAAGTTTATGGGCTTTTCCATTTCAAGGAGCATTGCTAAATGAGTAAGTACCTACTAGCAGGGGTGTGTTCAAAATAGGGGAATGAGAGTGTCCATGTTTGGTTTTGCAGGTTGTTCATTGCCCACGGGCATCTGGTGCAGCAGTGGCTGAAATCTGAACCGAGAAGTACTCCCAAGAAGGATGGACAGCTCTGTTTACAGTCCACAGAGAGGCGGCGTGTGGAAGGTGGGATGGGGAAAAGATGAAACACATTCTCGTATCCAGATCCCAGGTAGCAGAGGGTTTTAATGAAAACGGAGGAGCAGAGAGAAGAGCAAGATGATCAGAGCTGCTGGGGAGGGACCTGAGGGATTTCCCCCTTCTAACATCTGCTGCAACATCCAGCCTTTTTATGGTTGTTAAGGCTATGATAAAACAGGAAAATAGCACAGGAAGCCAGGGAAGTGTGGACACAGAATGATCTGCAGAACAGACAATAAGACCCATGGAAAGAGGAAGTCAGAGGTATTTTTATGTATTCGTTCTCCTCACAAATGGAATTGGGGGCCCCTGCCATGGCTCACAGGCTTGTTCAGTTTCTGGTTCAGCTTCTGAGGAAGACAAAGAAAGAGAAGGAATCCCAGCACCAGTCAGGCCAGGCCAGGCACTTCTAACTAGTGAATGCTTCCAGATGCACCAGTATGTCATCCCGAAACACTGCCTGAGAACCACAGCTGAGCTAGCTAGCAAGAGACTCCTTCGGAGGAAAAAAAAAGAAAAAAGAAAATCAGTCATTTTGACAAGGTCAAAATACCAAGAAAACAGCATTCCCAGTTGGGAGGCTGTGGGTCAGCACCAGAGTTCACTGAAACGTACTCTTTTCTGCTTCTCCTTTCTTAGGCTTTTTGGCTACAAGAGGATACCAATGTCCTGGAGGACAGAACACTGTGTGCGCGTAAGCGCGCATGCGTGGGCGCAAGTGTGCACATGCGTGTAAAGAGTTGGATATGGATAAGGGCTGGATGTTAGATAACGGTCTTCTCCCTCTCGACTTTTGAAAAGAAAGAACCTACAGGAGGGAGTGGAAGAGTAGAGATAAATAAGCCGTCTAAGAACAAACTATCCCAGGCAGTGTTTGGGTATAAAAGGAACAGGCTGCCATCTGGCCCAAAATGTCACAGTCGTGGGATCAGAGAGCAGCAAAGTTTCTCTTAGGATCTGAAATGAGGGCAATTTGGAAGATTTGCCCTTTGGCTGCACTTTTGGAGAGTTTGAGGAGAAAGCCAGTGAAGTGAGGAGAGGGAAAGGAAAAAAGGAAGGGAAAAATGAAGGGAAGGACAAAAAAAGAGGGAAGAGAGCCATTCATGGAACGCAGGCTCCATGTCAGAGTTTGCTCTTGGCTTTCCCATGCATACAAACGGCACTCAGACTTTAGAACACCGCTAGTTAGAGGGCTAGGCCTGCCCCTAGCTGCCTAGCCAGTAAGCAGTTGGCTCTACTTGTCACGTGTGTCTGATTTCAAGCTTCTTCCTTTTCTTCTGAGTTGTCATTGCCAACTAAATACACATACATATAAATAAATACACATGCATAAGTGTAATTTAAAAAAATGTTTAGTGGTGCCGGGGATGGAACCCAGGGTCTTCTCTGTGCAGGATCATGTACTGTAACACTGAACTACATACAACATCAGTGTCCGTTAGTATTTCCCATAGCTCTGAGCAAATTCCCTATTTCTTTTTGCATACTCTTCTTGGGTTACATGGTTCTTCTTCTCCCTTTAGGGTTGCCCGGGATGGATTTTTTGGTCTGTATATTATAGAAGAAAGGTGGAAAAGAAGGCCAAGGGAAATAATCCGCCCTGGTTCTCTTGTCTGCTGAGCATGGTTTACATGCATTTGTATGCCTGTGCTACCTGACTCTGGGAAGTCTCAGATCTGCTCTAGGTGAACCGTCTAGAACTGTTCTCCCCACAATTTCCTGAGTCAAAATTTCCCCTTTACTGCAAGACTAGAGTCCTCTAGATCATATTGCTTGCTGGTCTTGGGAGTAGCCATTCTATACTCTAAGAGGAACTGAAGACGTACCCTACTGCCAGGAGACCCTACCTCCCATTTGTCTACCAGAGGAAGGGGCCAGGGGCTGGGGCTGGGAAGGCTGGTGACCCAGGCTGCAGCCTCCCTCCCCTGGGCACCCAGCTCAGCCCTGCTGCCATGCACAGTGGTGAGGGACACCGCCAAGCTTTCCCCAGTGCAGACACAGATGCCTCAGGAGGGTGCTGTCACAAAAGGGTTTATTTGAAAAAAAAAGTGTAAAAGGGATGAGGCTGTTGGCAGGGATGCTAGTTCAGTGCTGTAGCCTCTGCTGACTGCAGTCTCGATGTATGGATTCTTTCCTTTCTCCAGCTCTCAATTTCCAAGGCTTTAGACTCGCTCTATAAAGAAAAGCTTTCCCCAAGCAGAGATGTTTACAGTATTTTATTAAAGTTTAGTGGGGAGGGAAAACGAAAGAAAAAGGCTGGTTTTGCAGGCAAGGGGGAGGGGCAGTGGTGGAGAGAGAGGAAAAGAGAGAGTGAGAGAAAGAGAAGGCATGCATGCATGAGAGTACCAAGCAGTGCCAAGAAGCGAAGAAAGGGCTGCTTGGGGACTTGGGGAGGGGGGCGGTGTGTGCCAGAAGCCTTACAGAAAAGGAACAGAGAGCTGAACAAGAGGAATGGATAAAAACTGAAGTACAAGTGGATTTCAGGATCTTCTTGGTAAAGAGAGCTGCAAACAAAACACAAAATAGGCCGCCGCAACCACTCAGAGAAACACAAGTCCTGAGGAGGCAGCCAGGGAACAGCGCAGAAGTAGCCTGGCAAATACACAAGTAGATACCAGTTAAATAAATGCCAGAGTACACTACATGGTGAGGAGGGAGGGGGAGGGAGAATATGAAATAAAGGGAACATCAAGTGAAAGCAAAAACAGAACACAGACAGACAGACACACACACACACACACAGCCAGACCCCAGGAGAGTCACACAGAGAAAGACAGAAAGGGCAGAGAGAGGGGGGTGGTGGGGTGGGAGTGGGTGAGAGGGAAGGTCTTTAGCCAAATGCGGGAGACTTGGCAGGCAGGAGCTGCACCAGCGGTGTCTACTCCATTGTTGTCTGGGGCGGGGGGAGAGTTGTTTGTTTATTTTGTTGTTTTGCCTCTTTGTCTCTTTTGTTCCAAGCAGTTAGTTCGCTTCTTTCCCAGACTCTGGGCTGATGGAAGACTTTATGGATTTCCCTTAAAGAGACAGAGCTAGCCAGTTCACCAGTACTATCAGTTTCCCAGTCCTAACCAGTCCCTTCCTAAGTGATTTATTTTCTAAAAGGATCCTATAAAGAATAGAGAGTCAGTGTTTGTGCTGTTTCTTGCGCCTGATTAACAAGAGGAAGCTGGTCAATTTCACTCTCTGCACTAAACCTCCGCCTCCTCCAGGGTTGCCAAAACTGCCCCAGAGGAAAAGAAAGACAGAAGAAAAACCGCAAAGTAAAGCAAGTGAACGTATGTGCAGAGACCCGCAAGCACAGGTTGCGCCCTTTAAAAAAATAGGCTCCAAAATTAGAAATACAAGCTTGAGTTTTATTCCGCAGACAGACAGACAGGCGGACAAGGAAGGAAGAGGGCAGTTGGTCCCTCTCTCACACTCACGGAGGACCAGCCCTTTCCCCGGAGGCCCTCTTTCTCCTGAGGCCCACCCTGGAGGGTGAACAGTGTGGGATTTGGGGTGCAGGAACCTGGCTTGGGTTACTCCCCCGTGCTTGGCCTTCCTCGGGGAGCCGTGGATCATACACCGGGCAGCCCAGGGGATGTGTAGAAGCGTCCAGAATCACTAGCCTGAAGGGAGCAGAGGTGTGGGAAAGGGGCATCCGGCCAGCCTTAGACTTTCTGTTCCGACAGGGAATCCCAGCTTCCTGTTGCCGCAGTAATTTCAATAGGTTTTGGTGCGAAGAAGCTTCTGAAAGAAATGAAATTCCCAGCCATCCCCCGGTTTCTGCGGCCTAGATTTTCACTTTCTCTCCACTCTTCCTTTGAGAAGCGTAGCCTGCTCTGTTCTTTAATCTATTTTTCTCCCCAGTACTCCTGCTTTAAAATCTCCCAGTGAAACCTAGGGTGCTAGATATTAAAATGAATAAACACAGTCGAGGGGACTGCGGCCTTAGGCAGGATACTCAGGGCTGAAGGTAAGAAAGGAACCGGGCTCCCTCCTGAACAAGCAGCAAGCACAAATCAGAGCCCAGCTTCTGCCCTCCTCCTGAGGCCGCCAACGCTGGGAGTGCAGCAGCTCTGGCTCTGTGGTGGGGGCTTTTCTTCCTCCCCATTCCCGAGGAGCTCGGGATCTGAAATACACACAGTTAAGCCCACCGCTCAAACTTGCAGGGGCGCTGTGGGGAGTTAAGAAGCAAGGGCACCACACTCGCAACTGAATCTGCGCTCTCACCTGAATTTCCCTCCACGCTTGCGCCCGGCCTTCCCCAACAAACGCTCCTTCCAAAGCCAGCATGAGGGTCCCCAGCTGTGGCTGCACGGTATTGCTTCTGGTGGGGTGCCACTTGGAGGTGCTGTAAACCTCCATCTCCACATGGGGTGACCCTCTGCAGGGATTTCTCTGACGCAGCAGTGGTAGCAAATTTGGCCAATTCTTGCGGGGACCAGCTTGGGGGCGGGAGTCCTCGCCTTCAGTGTGAGGAGATGTGACCTAGGTACCCAAGACCACCAGCCTGAGTAGGGCCTGGGCCTACCAAGAGCGCCGCTAGAGCTGCTGAGCGTGTGGGCCACGTGCTTTACGCGCAGGAGAGCTGTCAAGGGGAGCTGGGTGGGGCGCATCTCCTGATTCTACTGGAAGGAGGATGTGGGGGGGAATTGTAGCCATCTTGGTTAGAGTGGACGGTTCACGTCTGCTCTTACATGAGGTAAACAGCATCCCACTAACCCTGAACTAGGGACAGAACTGATTCCGACTTGGAAGACGTTGGCTTAGCTGAGCTGAACCTGCTTGTCCTCAGGACGACTTTCTGGGCCGGCGTCGGGCGATTGACTATAGGAACCCGTCTGCCACGTGGAAGGAGCAAGGCTGAGTGGGGGCCACAACCCCGCAGGCGTCAAGTCCGATTTCACGCCCAGCCACGTGGGGGTTCCAGAAGCCCTCGCGGCGCCTCAGGCCCGGCAGTCCTTGCCACACCGCATGGGCGGATTTCGTTTCCCTTCCCTGCGCGCTTCTCAGCAGCGCCAGAGGAGCTCCGATTTTGCGGGAACGTCCCGTTGCTTTGTTGGTTTCAATGTTGAAGCCCTAAGCTGGTAAATTTGGACACAGAATCTCAAACCTCGCTAATCCTAGACATAATTAAAACATAACGGGCCACAGACTAAGCAGCTGGAGGTGCTTTCTTTGGTAGTCTCCTGACCCCGCACCTGGAGCTGTGCGGCCCCCTGAGGGAGTGAACTTTTCCACCTCCACGGCTCTCCGCAGGAAGGTGCTGTAACAGGGTCTGATCTCCGCGGCTACCTTGTCTCCCAAACTTCACTCAGATCCACCGCATCCACAGCCCAGGATCAGCGGGTGGGCAAGGAGTGCCGGAGAGGCTTGCCTCGCTCCGGCACGAATTAGCTTCCCACCACTCCCCAGGATCTCCCAGGGAGACGAAATCAGGCCCGAGAAATCGCGCCCCAGGAGCCGCTGGCCCCCATTCTGGAGACAACCCGCCCCGCACGAAGGGCGCATCTCCCGGCCCCCAGCGGGCGACCGGGAGGCAGGCGGAAGCTCAGGGCTCGGGCAGGGAGGAAACTTTTTAAAAAGAAAAGCTATCTAAAAAATGAAAAAAAAAAAAAAAAAAAAAAGAAACAAACCTAAACTAAGAGCCGCAGGTCTCCGCCGAAAGTGCGCGGGGGAGGAGGGGGCGGAACCGCAGGCGCGGGCGGTGGGGGCTGAGCGCGGACTCCGGCCGGCACAGGCGGCGCCTCGGGGGCTCCCCGGCTGCGCGCTCCCACCCGAAAGGTTTGGACCCCCGGGAAGGCGAGGCGGGGGAGATGGGCGGAGGGGAAGGGTGTCCTCGCCCTCCTCCGCCAGCTCCAGCCGCTGAACTTGAGTGTAAAGCTCCGGCAAACTTTTCTCTGGGAAGTTTTGGCCGCGGGAGCAGGGACGGCGGGGCGAGCAGGCAGAGTGGAGGCGAGCGTGGGGGGAGCGAGCGCGAGCGGCCGGGACGCGGGGGGGGGGCACGGCCAGGCCCCAGAGGTGGGAGATCCACGCTCCCCAGTCGGGCGTGCGCACGGCCCCAGCGGGGCGCACGGGCC